GACCACACTGGTCTTCCTGGTATAAAAGTGATCCAGTCTAGCCCTTGAGACCTGCTTGGGAGCAGCCTTCAGCCAAGAGTACTACCTAACACTGGGGTGAGAGTACCTCAAACATCTGCTAGCCCAAAGGGCGGCAGGAGACAACACAGTTCCCTGGCTGACTGAGGGTGTAGTTCCTTCTGGTTCTTGTCTAAAACATAATCTACAGTGCAACTGAAATCCCCTCCCAGGACAATATTACCATCAGGGTCACAGCCAAGCATGGCATGGACAAGTGTTTGCAGAAAGGAGACATGATCTCACCCCAGAGTAGGGGCATACACAGTAAAACAGTAGTGCCAATATGTGTCTCCACCTGGAGGAGCTGGCCCTGCACACTCTCATTCACAGAGAAGATCTGTGTCCCTGTGTTCTGGGGAAAGAGAACAGTTCCCCCAGCTGTGACATTGGAGCTATGGCTCAAGAAAGCTTCCCCTTTGCATTCCTTTAACCAGATCTCCTGATTATCAAAGTCTGAGTGTGTCCCTTGCAAAAGAAAAACATTAACCTGCTTTTGTCTAAGAAATTCAGAGTTGTGCCCTTCTGTGACCATCCTGGCAGTCATTAATATTGAGAGCCAAGGGTAAGCAGCATCACAGAGATTAGAAAGAGAGAGCCAAGCAGCAGAAGGAGACAATGGAAAGTGGAAATACTGTGAACAAAACAAGCCACGGGGAGGGCTGTGTATCTTGAACAATCCCAACACACTTCCTCACCTTCCTCAACAACTTTTTGAAACAGAAACGTTTCCTACAGTCAACCGAATTATCTCTCAAGACAAGGGCAGCTGAATGAATAAAATGCTGTAAATCAACTCCCCATTTCCTTTTAGGGCTATCCAAAAAAAGTCACTAAGCTCCTTCACACTGTACCTCCTTTCTTATCTAGCTGACTGGCTGGGACATCAGGAACCAGTGAGGAGTAAGAGAGATTATCATCATCCTCTTCATCTCCCTGAGACTCCACCAGGTCAGAAGAACATTCAGCCACCATTGTAACATTCTCATAATTCACGAGGGAGAAAGATTCAGTGCGGGCAGATAGCATATCTATAGTCTCAAGAGGGGAAGGCAGTGGGTTGGGACTCAGCATCATCTCTGCAACATACAGGATTGGGGCTTGAGGACTCACCATGCCAGAAGAGGACAGTATCCCACTGGAAATGCCAGGCATGGAGCTATCACCCAACACAACACTATTCTCCTTCCCAGGGCACACAGCTCCATCCTCAGCCACTGCCAGTGGCTCAGGTGCCGCCAAAGTCTTAGTCCTTTTAGAAATAGTGCTGCATAAATCCATCTCATTGGTCTGTTCTCCACCCCCATCTCTAGTACCTCTATCTGCTTCCTCTGCAGGGAGGTGCAGCTCAAACTCTGGGACTCGCTTCTGTCCAGGTACAAGTGATGGGGTCACGACAGAGGACACCTGTGGTGGGGAGGCTTTTCTCTAGAGGATAGCAGATACATATGGCGATGGGGGAGGGAGACAGAACCTGGCAGTGCAGATGTCCCTTGATGTCCCAACCACCCCCACTATCCTGGGGTCCCACATTCTTACCAGGGATCCCCAAGCTAGCTGTGCATGGGCAAGATCAGGGTCACCACATAGGAAACATTTCACATTTTCAAAGGTAACAAATACTGTAAAAACTATACCATCTATGTGATGCTTTAAAACGTAGTTCAAGGGCTGTTCAGGGGTATTTAGAACCACAGAAACTTGGCACCAGAATGACATAAGATGCCCCACATTTGGGTTCTTGCAGACTAATGGAATCATCCTAAGAGCAGGAAATACCTTCCCATCGAGAGAGATCAGACACTGGTGTCTCATTGTGAAGGAAGGGGGGGACATTGGTACTTTAGTAGCGGGAGTAAACAAGGGGAAAACTTGAACAAAAGCCTCCTTGACCCAGAGTCCCTCCTGTACCAAACGATTCACAAACTATTCTTGGGCCAGGAAAATTACTATAAATTTGCTCATTCGAGAGGCAGATTTTGTATTAGCATAGTTAATAATCTTACCTACACTCAGCAACTCATCCTGCACTGTGTAGGAGACAGGATGTACACACTGAATCCCATGCTTGTGGATTAAACTGCTAAAACCCTCTGAGGCAGAGAACCCCACCAACTCCTGCAAGGAAAAGGAGATGGGGGACCAATAACACCCCTAAAGTAAAGAAGCAGCAAGAAACAAAACAAAACCACACACAGCCTAACAGAAACCTGGCTAGTGCACAGAGCACATAAACTCAGCCTCACTCTCAGAAGCTCCCACAATCCCGAGAGAGAATCCATCTCTCTTTCCTGTTTTGTAATAATGAGGACTGGAGAGATCCATGAGAACGTAAGAATGGCCATCCTAGGTCAGACCAGTAGACCATCTAGCCCAGAATCCTGTCTTCTGATAGTGGCCAGTGCCAGATGCTTCAGAGGAATGAACAGAATAGAGTAATTTTAGAGTCCTCTATCCCCTGTCCTCCAGTCCCAGCTTCTGGCAGTTGGAGGTTTAGGGACACCCAGAGCATGGGATTGCATCCCTGACCATCTTGACTAATAACCACTGATAGATGACATTATCCAATTCTTTTTTTTTACCCCAGTTTTACTTCTGGCCTTCACAACATCATCTGGCAATGAGTTCCATAGGTTAACTGTACTTTAGGTAAAGAAGTACTTCTTAATGTTTGTTTTAAACCTGCTGCCTATTAATTTAATTGGGTGACCCCTGGCTCTTGTGTTATGTGAAGGGATAAATAACACTTCCCTTTTCCTTTCTCTACCCCATTCATGACTTTAGTATAGTCCTCTGTTGTATCCCCCCCTTAGTCATCTCTTTTCCAGAAGTTCTGCAAACTTTGCCATTACATTAGCTATGCTTCAGTCATCAGGTACAGAGGCTGATTTATGCGATAGGTTACATACCACAATTAGTATTTCTGCAATTTCATATTTGAGTCCTTCAGAACTCTTGGGTGAATACCGTGTGGTCCTGGTGACTTCTTATTGTCACCTAACAATATTCTCCCTCACATCCTCTGCAGTAAAGTCTGATGCAAATAATTCATTTAACTTCTCCGCAATAGCCTTGTCTTCCTTGAGTGCACCTTTAGCACCTTGATTGGCCAGTGTCCCATTGATTGTTTGGCAGGTTCCTGCTTCTGATGTACTTTAAAACAATTTTGCTGTTATTTTTTGAGTCCTTTGCTACTTGCTTTTCAAATTCTTTTGTGGCCTGCCTAATTATACTTGACTTTTCAGAGTTTATGCTCCTTTCTGTTTTCATTAGTAGGATTTGACTTCCAATTTTCAAATGATGTCTTTTTGCCTCTATCTGCCTCTTTTACTTTGTTGTTTATCCATGGTGGCGTTTTTTGGTCCTCTGACTATTTTTTAAAATTTGGTATATACATTTAGTTTGAGCCTCTATTATGGGGTTTCTAAATGGTTTCCATGCACCTTGGAGGTATTTCACTCTTGTGACTTTTCCCTTTAATTTCCATTTAACTAGCTTCCCCTCTTCTGTGTAGTTGAAGGTATCTATCTCCCCCCCTACAAGGATATTAAATTACATTACATTATGGTTGCTATTACTTAGCCATTCAGCTATAGTCCCCTCTTGGACCAGATCCTGTGCTCCACTTAGGACTAAATCAAGAATTGCCTCTCCCCTTGTGGGTGCCAGGACTAGCTGCTCTAAAAAGCAGTTGTTAATGGTGTCTAGAAAATCATACTTTCTATTAAAGACAGGCCTGAATTAAAACTCCACATTTGAATAACCCCAAAACTCTGGGGGTGTTCAAAATATGAATCTGGATTCAGAACCAAAGTGTGTAGCTTGGGTCTTTCTCTGTATTCTGCTAATGAAGGGGTCAGCTTTGACTGAATTTGTACATTCTAAAAGTTTCACTGCCATATTTTCAAAATAAAATATTTTAACCAAGATATGTACTTGTTTGTTTTTATTTCCTCTTATTAAAACATTACATATATAAAAATATGAGTTTTGTTACTATGAGTCCCGAACCCTGGCAGCTTAATGTCAAATTGTTGTAATGTATTAATAATTTTTCTCATTTGGATTTCTGGGTTTTCCCTTTTTTTCTGTTTTCAGAGATTTTACATTTGGATAGAATTAAAACCATTGATTTTAAATGCTCCTATAACATTTATACTCAGACGTATGTTGTAACCCTTGGAGTTTTTAATGCCATTCCAACTGTTATTTGAAAAATAAAAATTGTTTTTGATTTTGCATCTGTTCAAGTGGTATGAATGTGTATAACTATCACTTCCTAATCTACTATTTAGCAAAGTAAAAGGGCATTGATTTTACAAGATAAAAACTTCACAACTAAATCAGCTATTTTGTATCCTTTAGCAAAAGGATATATAGGTCCTGTACTTTTTACACCTTGCACAACACATTTCCTCTTTCTAAATTTGCCTGTCTTTCTTTTCCCGTCTGTGCAATTGTCTGAAAGTACTACGTGTTGTAGAACGGATTTTAAAAATATTTTTGGCTAGCATTATTTAAAATCATATTTTCTCTTTCAGTTTGTACATTCTGGTCCTAACAGTTTCCTTATTTGGCTGAAATTAACATCTTTTCCACACTCATCGGTATGTGATGTTGTCTTTCTGTCATTTTTAATTGTTATGCCTGATTTTTCTTTTAGAAGGTAGATTGTTGAAATTAAGGGGCAGGAGGTTTCTTTCCATGTTAATCTGAGATCCTTTAATGCAGAGGCATATTTTGCTTTTGTGAATTGCTTTTTTCCCCCCTCTTTCTTCATTACAGACTACTCAGGAAGAGCTTTTTTTAACCAAAAAAAAAAAAGGCCACGCTTGACTGATAATGCATTGCTTTGGATGGTGAAACATTATGAAAGTTTAATTTTTAATTAAATCTGAAATACCAATTATAACTGAAAGAGATTTTAACCTGTTTCTTTTCAGACTGCCTGAAGTTAAATTTTAGATGCTGAAATCACTGCACCTTAAAAACAAAAAGATTAAGCTGCACTGCATTCCTGTAAGTAAAAGCTTTTCCTGTACCTTTTGTCAGTATTTCTCTGAATACAGTGCACACAATAAAAGGGTTAGCACAGTAACTGGACATGGATAAAGGTCAGAGTGCCCTTGGATGGGATTTACAAGTTTAAATGACATTTATTTATTTTTTTAAAGGAAGTTGTGCTAGATCTTTACCAGGTTTTATGTCAGACCCCAAATTGCTAATTCTTTCCGCTGGCTGTTTCAAATTTTATTAGGAATGGTGTGTAGCTTTGTCCCAATTGACATACATTTCCTGTCATCCTGTCACCAAGGATTCCTGCACTTTGATGCAGGGATAATGGAAAATAGCAGAGATTCCTGATGGCATCAGAAATAGAATTAATTCTCCTTTGTGATGTCATAGGACATTTTTGTCCTTTGTTATAAGAAAAATTGAAAGAAAGAGAAAGTTTCTGGTGACATCACAACAGGAGTCATCTGCCTGAGGACATTGGATGGGATCAGAAATGCATAATTCTTCTATGTGTGTGTATGTGTGTTCCCTATTGTGCTAGGAAACAGTCAAAATAACATATCTTATGTTTTCGAACGAGAGATGAGACTGTCTCTAAGAGCCCCATTAGTCCATAAATGCATGTCAGAGTCTACATCAGTCTGGTCTATCCTTATTTAGAAGCTGTTTTGTCAATGTACTCGAGAGAACAATTAATACTTGGGATTTCAATGCATGAATAACAGGCAAGTGAATGACCAGACAGTGTAAAAGATTCAGATGCCCCGAGTTTAAAAAGAAAAAAGAAACAAAACAAAATCTTAAAGATGATAGGGGGAAAGGGATTTTAGTTTCACAATAAAAGGTTGTGAAATACTACAAAGCAAAATCAATCTGTTTTCTCATTTAAGATGAAAATGTAAGTTTGGTAATGAAATCCAGAAGCTTATGAATTCTTCCTAAGTGATATCTTTGTTTTATAGCACAAAGTGTTTCAGTGTTTTAACTGTTACATAAGGGGGTTTTCACCCCCTTTCAACTCTAATGAATTTACTTTGGAGACTAGCTGAAGGGTACAGCATACTGCGGGTACATAATACCCCTTCCAGGAATGGAATGCCAGGCATGAGTCAGTGAGGCAGATTGTGCCATTCTGGCACCAATCCATTGCATTTTTACATTACTGGCAGGGGCATGCCATTGTGTTGTTAAATACTATGCATTAACTGCAGACTGTGGCCAGTGAATTGGGTTTAAAATGTTCTGCTCATAGTTCTTAACTTCCTACCACAAGCAGTATCCCTGGCCACCATGGTCATCAGTGTAACTCTGAGCCTATGACCTAGGTTAAAGGTACTAGTAGATTTAGTGGTACCAATGACATAACATTTGAGGGGGGGGGCAGAGAGGTTGGGTTGGGGGGAAAGCCTTTGTCATGTATGAACACTGAATCTAAAAGCCCTTTTGTAATTCCCTGTATATTATAAAATAATAATGAGGAGAATTTTGCTTGGAATGCATTAGACATTTTCTTACCAAAATTGAATAGATCTAGGAGTGAATTAAGGTTGGTTCTTTGGATCTTTGGGATACAGATGGTCATTCGGTCCTTGATGGAGCAGTGAGGCAAAGTACTATGTAGCAGTATATGGCCCTGATGATTGGCTGCCAGCTGGGCTGGGCTATATGACTTGGTAAGGAGACAGGGACTCATTGGTAGAGGAAAACAACTTCAAATGTAAATTGTTATCCTAACATAAATGTGGAACCGACCTGCAGAAAGAGAACCTTAATATCTCCATTTTACTGATGGGGAAACAGAGATACAAAGGTTAAATGACTTGCTCCAGGTCACACAGCGAATCAGACCTAGAGTTGGGAATAGGACACAGGATCCTGACTCAGCACAATTCCATCCTTCCTTTTGCTCTATCAAACTCTCTCAGCTGGACCTCTGCTTTATTGCATGCATTATCTCCAACTTACTTCCATCATTCATTTTTCAAAAGTATCCTGTCTGTAAACTCCTAAATGCTCCTAGGTTTTGTAGCCTCAGCATACAGCCCCACCTTTGAAATATACCAGGATCGTTAGTGCTTTATGATTCTTTATGCTGTGAGTAGCATGGTGGAGGGACTTTTATGGTTGGACATGCAAATCATAATAATGAAATCTGGATATTGCTGTTACATTCGAGTGTCTATGTAGGCAGTAACACAAAACAATTATAATGCATGGTGTTTAGCCATAGAAGAAAAGATGCTTTGAAGTTTTGCGTTGTTTCTTACTGAGGTTCACTGTGAACAGTGGCTGCTAATTTCTGAGATCTGGGATGAGATTAATCCCAGTATATGGCTTTCCTGTAAATAGAGAACTACCTATTTTTTTAAATTATTTTTTTTAATTTGGAGTCTGAAGAGATCATTCCCAGAATGTGATGTCCCTACATCATCTGATTGTTCAGAATCTGGGCTATCTCCTCAGCTGGTGCAAATCATATACGCTGTTGACTTGGGAGCCAGATCTTTGCACAAAGGAAAGATACTGTACATATAAGCTAAAATTGTCCAAAACATTTATGGGTGTGGGATAAATTTTCAAAGCAGTGTCTAGGGATTTAACCATGTTTCCCTTATCTAAGACTTATAAGAATTGCATATAGTAGATACATTTTTAATGTATGTGCTGCCTTGAAAAATTCCAGCTCATGTGTGGCGTAGTGGCCTGAGTACAGGATTAATAGCCAAGAGATCCTGTGTTCTTATCCTGATTCAGACACGCATGGCATTGAGCAAGTCACTTAACCCTTCTGGACCTCACCATTCATATCTATTTTAAAGTGTGGATAATACTGACATACCTATGTGAACATTATTTAGTTAGTGTTTGTGAAGCTCTTGAAAGTGCTAAGCATTGTTATTATAAACAAACACCTTGTGTGCACAAAACACCTGGGATGGAGATATAGTCACTCACTGGGATGATCTTTCACAACTCACTTGTGCCTTTGTTTTGTTCCATCACTGAAAGGTATCCAGGCCAATTGTAATTTACAAAAATACTTCCCATATCACTCTCCTCACTGTTGAGTATTTTTATTGCAAACATTCTTTCTTTGTTCGTCTGTCTCCATACTTTTCTCCATGCTGAATTAACCTTGCTTACCAAACTTTATCCCCTCCTCTGCACTATACAGCAGAGACATTTGCATAGCCTCCAAATTACAAAGAACAAATTCATTTTGTCTACTAATTATGTTTGCTGATGATGTATGAAACAGACAGAAGACAGTTTGAATTTTCATAAGTTCAATTGAGCTTGCAGGCATAAGGAAACGAACTGGCAGAACCCAAGCCAATGTGACATGGAATGCAGGCATCCCAGAGTGCATGCTGCATGCGTAGCGTCAGGATGTCAGGGCTAAGAAGGGCCTCTTCCATCAGAGGAGTGCTTTTAAAAGAAAGAAATATTTTGAAGCAACAAACAGTCCACCCTAACATATCCTTCAGGTTCTCCTTTACAGTGCATTGAACATCATAGCGCTTGGGGGACATGGGCATCTGCTCACCAATATTGTAACTTACTCTTTTAACCAGAGTTGCATGCCTGAGACATGTTCTGTTTTCCCCAGCAGTTCTCTAACTCCGATTCCTCCCATCAGCTCCAACACTGCTCACAGAATGATGGCAAGCTAAGCTCTTTTTGCCAAAGAAATTGTGGTAGAAAGAGGTCTGCTGGAGAAGACGTTTGTATAAAAAAATTGTTTGGGATTCTGCCTGCCCTAAATAGAACTCAATGTCTTGGGGCCATCACTGAAGAATTATATTAGCACTAACAAAGGGAATTAATTTTGCCTTCTCTTTCTCCTACAATGAGGCATCAATCCAGAAACTCCTGGGGATAAATTCTACCCTGATTTTTACTCATGCAACCCCATCAAAGTTAATGCGGTGGTACAGATGTAAGTCAAGGCAGAATTTGCCTCCAGCATTGGATTGGCTGAGAAGGCAGAAGTCTGTTTTGCTGCATCATCTGACCTGGAGTACAGGTTTCAAAAGTGTGTAAGTGACTTAAGAGTCCAAGTGCCATTGGATTTCAATTTAGGCTCCTAAGTATATGTCACTTTGGAAAATGGGACTCAGGCTTACTCACTTACGCACTTTTGAAATTTTTATCCTTGGTTATTTATATTCTCGGCAAGGCCCCTTGAAGATAACGGGCCGGTACTCTGTGGGGTGCTGACAACTTCTTAACCCTGTTTTTGAGACAAAGATGGTGAGAGTGTTAATGTAGACATTTGGGTCCAGATTTTAGATGATGATAATCTGCACAGTTTCACTGAAGTCAGTGGAGTAATACTGATTTACGCCACTGGAATATCTGGTCCTTAAACTTCAGATGAAATGAGAAAATCCAAGATACTTGTTTGTTTCTTAAAAAAATCACCTTATTTTAGGTCTTCTGACATGGGACATGGTCACAGTTTAAAGGTGCAAATACAGCGGATGATCAAAAGAATAAATATGCAGCGGGGCTTATGGTAATCCTTTTCTACAAAAAGCAAATTTCTCAGGAGATTATGCAACTTCATGATTGACTCTTTGTTGTCTTTGAATCTCCAGCTAAACATCCTCAAGAGAACAATAGTGAGACCATTTTGGGTACAATAGTCTTGGAACTCTGATAATCCAGTAGATATTTTTGTTTGTTCTTAGGTTGGCTTTAATCAGACCATCTGCAAGTCAACTGATAGCAGTTAGGACTGAATGTTATTTATGTCCATCATGCATTTTTTGTTTTAGATATCTGGCTGTACTTTAAGTGCAGGCTAGAGCACTCACAGTGTAGAAAGTATATTGTAGCATGCAGCTTTTGTTTTAGTGGTGTGTTTGCTACATTAGGTAGAGAGAGGAAAATAGCTCTCTAGTGTACGGTTGCTCTATTAGGCGTAGGGATATTGGTCGTGATTCATTCATTTTAGAAGGTGCAGGGATTTCAGTGTTGATTCCCTGAGCAGTATTGCT